ATAGACGAGAGAATAAGGAGTTGCCCCTGTTGACGTCGGGATTGAAGTTCTGTAACCCTAGAGTGAGAATGGAAATTTATCTAGCCAGTCCTTGTAGGTCTCAATCATTTTCTGCAAGATCTTCTTAATGTTCTTGTTGGCGGCTTCAACAACTCCATTAGTTTGCGGCCTGTATGTAGACGACTTATGGAAAGTCACACTGTATTTCTCCAACAAGTCTATCATCTCTTTCTTGAAGTAGGAGCCATTATCTGATATGATCTCATTTGGGACTCCATACCGGCAAATGATATTACTTTTGATAAACTTAGCCACGTGCGATACCTTCAGCACGGCATAGGACTGAGCTTCCACCCACTTTGTAAAGTAATCAATCACCACCAAGATATATTCATGCCGATTTAACCCTTTTGGCATGACTGCACCGATGATATCGATTCCCTAGATTGAGAAAGGCCATGGTGAAGTCATGTTATACAGTTTTGACGGCGGGATATTCATGCGATTGGCATGAATTTGGCATTTGTGGCATCTCCAAACAAAACCAATACAATCCTCCTCCATGATGGACCAGTAGTAAACTTGCCTGAGAATCTTCCGGGCTAGTATCACTCCGTTCATGTGCGCCCCGCACTCCCCGCCATGGATAGCCTCCATCAGGCACTTTGATTCCACTTCTTCGACACAAAACTTGTGCATTCCCTGATGACCTCTTTTATACAGTTTACCTCCGTAGATGATAAATTGGATGGCTATTCACTGTATTCCCCTATTTGTCCTTGGCATTTGCCCCTGGTGGATAAATCTCATTTTCCAAGAAGTTCCAAATATCGTAACACCAGGGGTTTTTGTCTTGCACTTCATCTATTGCGGCGAAGTTTCATAAGCGCCGTGTATTTATGCTCGATGATAATCAGACGCATCCGGACTACAAATGGGATGTCTACCATAGAAGATAGAGTTGCCAAAGCATCAACGAACCTATTGTTCTCTCTTAGTAGATGCGTGAAAGTCAGCTTTTCAAACCTAGGAATCAGAACATCTAGGGTTTGGTGATAAACCTTCATCTTTCCTTCTTTGACTTTCCAATCTCCATTAGCTTGAGAAACAACTAAGTTCGAGTCCATGATAACATCCAATCTTTTTTTCCCTAGTTTCAGGGCGGCTTCTAAACCAGCGATAAACGCTTCATACTTTGCTTCATTATTGGACACCTTGAATCTGAGTTTGAAGGCTAAAGGTATATGGAAGTCGTGGGGTGCTATCAGCAACACACCTATCACATAACCATAGTGATTGGATGCTCCATCAAAGTACACCGTCTAGGTTTCCTCCTCAACTTGTAGAATGGCTTTATCTGGGAACAAGTATTCCACTGCCTCATCCCCTTCTACTGGGTGGTCTGCTAGGAACTCCGCTACAGCTCTTCCATTGACCGACTTGCAGGTGACGTATTTGAGATCAAATTCAGAGAGGAGAAGCAACCAACGGGCTAGTTTACCCATAAGCATTGGTTTCTCAAAGAGATATTTGATGGGATCTAATCTCGAAACCAGGATTACAGAGTGAGCTAACAAGTAGTGCCTCAACTTCTTGGGAGCCTATACCAAGGCTAGGCAAGCTTTCTCTAACGGAATATAGTGGGTCTTGTAATCCAGCATTTTCTTGCTCAAGTAGTAGATGGCTTTCTCCACCCTATCTTTAGATTCCTAAGCAAGCATGCATCCCACGGTCGTGTTTGTTACTGACAAGTACAGAATCAAAGGCTTCCCTAGCTCTGGCAACGACAACACAGGCAGATTCTGGAGGAACTGTTTAACCTACTCAAAGGCAAATTGACATCAATCATTCCATTGAAATTTTTTTCCTTTCTTCAAGAGACCAAATAGTGGTTCACAAGTCAAGATTAATTTGGAGACAAACCGCCTTATGAATTGCACTTTATCCAGAATGTGATAACCCTGCCCTGTGTTATGTTAATTAATCTTAATTATGATTGTGGTTATGTGCTTAATATGATTTTGAGTGCCATTTATATGATTATATTTGTTTTTGAATTTCTATTTTTTCACCGTAAGAAAATGTGTTTGATTTTCTACTATAGAATTTAAATTGAACGCTATAGTGGCAACATAAACTGAAATTGTTTGTATTTTTACGATTAGCATGATTTTTAGAGCCTATGGTGAAGTTTAATTAAAAATTGATTCGGATCAAAATAATTGGATCAAACTAATTGAATTAGACTCAATTGGTTAACCTTAATTAAGATGGATTAGTCTAAACCAACCACTTAGTATATATAAGGGCCAAACACACTTAAGCTCACATTATGAGCTCAAAATCTGAAATTACACTATAGAGAGAGAGAGAGAGAGTGAAGGAAAAATTTGAAGAATTGAGTAAGGAGCTCAAAGATTGAGGAAGATAACTCAAGAATTAGCTAGGAATTTGGAGGATTAAAGCTCCTAGGTAAGTAATGAACTCAAATTGTTGGGTTTAAGCTCATAATTGAATGAATTCTAGCATGGTATATAACCAAGAACAAGAATTGAGCTAAATATGATGAAATTGAACTTTGTATAGACATGTATGTGAGCTTTATATACATTTGAGCTTTTGGCATGTTAAGTATTAAGTGTCAAATTACTCATGCATATATAGTTTTGTTGAGCCTTATGACCTTGAGCATCATTTGTATCATTTGAAGTAGAACTGGAGTAAATATTTTACATGCATATATGATTTATGAAGATTGAAGGCTTAGTTGCATGAGTTTTGAAATCACAAAAGAGTTTGTGATGATTTGAAATATGGATCATGATTTTTGGACAATTGGTTTCAAGTTACGTATGTTTACATGCAAGGCAATGTTTTTCCATACTTCGATACAAGAATTGCAATCTTTGGGCCTTTGGGAGTGCGATTTGAGCTTCAATCCGAGTTCTGGAAAACCTAGAATTTGACTTGTCTGCTCGAGCGAGGAAAGTCGAGCTCCCACAAGTTTTGCAGAAATTGCACAGCGGCTCGAGCAGTCAAAGCTACGCTCGAGCGTACCCTATTTTGCAAGACTCTTTGCTTGAGCATAAAATTCATGCAACCAGTACTTTCTTAGAGTTTTGCAATCTGCTCAAACGACCAATCCTGCGCACAAGCGGAGAGCCCTGTTTTAGAAATTTTGAAAAGTTGTTTTACGCTCCTTTCTCCGTTCTCTTTCATTTCTAAGCCCTCTTAAGCATGCATGGAACGTTGTAAGTGAGTTAGAGGAATAAGAAAGAGGCCTAAGAGAAATAAACAATTTGAGACCGGATTGAATCGCTTGTGACCCGATATGTTGTAAATTGTGTAGGGCCAAGCGCAAGGGTGAATCCATCAGCAGAACACTGTGAGTAATATCTTAATAAGAATGAATTGAAGTATGCTACTTTTCAAGTGCTCACATATGTATGAGCTCTATGGAGTTGTTAAATTGAATTGGATATTCGTCATGCCAATGATTGAATAAAGCCGTTGGAAAATGATTATGATTACGACATGCTTATGATCTCAAGTATAAATGCACATAACATAAATGATTGGGCCGAAGGCCGTTTGACATGAACATTGGGTCAAGGGCCGTCTGACATAAATGATTGGACCAAAGGCCATCTGACATGAATAATTGGGCCAAAGGCCATCTAATATGAATGTTGGGCCAAAGGCCGTTTGATATAAATGTTGGGCCAAAGGCCATTTGATATGAATGATTGGGCTGAAGGCCGTTTGACATGAACGTTGGGCCAAAGGTCGTTTGACATAAATGATTGGGCTAAAGGATTTCTGACATAAATGATTGGGCCAAAGAAAGTTTGACATAAATGATTGGGCCAAAGGCCGTTGGACATAAATGAATGGGCCAAAAGCCGTTTGACATGGATGAATTAGGCCCGAAGCTGTTTGATTTGTATGGGCCTGAGGCCGTTTAATGTACTAGATAGAAACATGAATAGGCCTAAGGCTGTTGGATATGACCGTTACGAAGTTCATTCATGTAATTTCTTTATTTTGATATTATTCACTGGGCTTTTGCTCACTCTCATTTATGTGCATGTAGGTTGACAAGGAGAGGTCCAAACCCAGCCTCAGTAAAGAATGTGAGAGGAAGTCAGTTTGAAGAGTCAGCCCGAATGTCTCACACACGAGACTTTGTTTTCGTTCTTTTGATCTTTTGTTTACCCTTTTGCTATTTTGGTGAACACGTTGGATCACCTATGTACATAAGTTTTTGTTTGGCTGGCTCCATATTTGAAAGTTCCTGGATAAATATAAGATGTTACTCTATGCATATGTGTGTGAGTTATTATAGACTACTCTTGAAAGGTTTTGCTTTTCCATGTAAGCACAGCTCATTGGACAAAAAATTTTAAATCTGCTTATGTTTGGCTCCTCATTTCTATTGAACTATGTTTAATCAGGTTTGAGGCCGTAGGTAATCTAATGATTACTGGTTAGTTATGACCTTATCCATAGGGGCAGGGATTGGGTCATGAAAGAGTGGTATCAGAGCACGAGTTAATGACTCACATACTTGTCCAAATAGGCAATAAGCATCTAGAAGAGATCTAGGATGCATTCATGTGACATGTATGGACTTGAAGACATTGAAAATATGCTTAGATGTTTCGAAATAAATGATTATGCGCTGTATACTTTGTGAATTGCCTGCATTGTGATTTACTTGAATATGTATGCTCTATTGTATATGCATACTTGTGAACATTTTGTATAAAGAATAATGCAAGTTTAATCAAATAATAGTGAGAACAAGAGGTGATGAATTAAACTTGTCCTCTACTGCCAGAATGGACAGAATGGAAAGGTTAATACAGGATATGGTAGAAACATTGAGACAACAGTAACTGTGGCAACAGCCACACCTTCCGCCTCCACCTCTGGCACCACTTGTGCCAGACTTGAAAAACGAACATCAGACTATAGCTCTTACTAAAGAGTTCAAGAAAATGAAACCGCCACAGTTTCATGGAGGACTGGATCCGTTGAAGGTAGAGGCATGGGTCCTTGGAATAGAAAAATTGTTTGACGTGTTTCCTTGTCTAGAAACACAGAAGGTATTGCTAGCGACCTTTACACTGGAAGACGAAGTGAGAAGGTGGTGGAAGTTGATGCGTGAGAATCATAAAGACATTGACTGGATACGATTTTTGGAAATTTTCTACGATAAATACTTTTCACAATGTGTTTGTAGTAGAAAAGTGTCAGAGTTTATGGAACTTAAACCAAACAACATGTCAGTGGCTGAGTATGAGGCCAAGTTCACTGAATTGGATAGATTTATACCACACATGGTCGATACCAACTATAAGAAAGCAAGACATTTTGAAGGAGGCCTTCGAGATGATATCTTAGACAAGGTGAATGTACTAAAGCTAGAAACCTACATTGATGTACTGGATCGGGCCATAATATCATAAGCTAATCTAGCTAGGCAGAGCAAATCATTGGCTGATTAGAAAAGTAAGAGGCAGGGCTTCTTTTCAAAGAAAAGACTTTCGAAAAAGTAGAATACGGGCTCCTCAAGTACTTCTATTTCTTCCCGAGACACGTCTCTAATGTGCAACATTTGTAGTAAAAGGCATCGCAGGGTTTGCTACCATGTGTTAGAGGCCTGCTTTAAATGTGGTAAACCAGGGTATATAGCTAGGGATTGTAAACAAAATGGTGGGAAGTTAGCTGCTAGCTCAACTGCATCGATCCCAAAACCCGGAAACACTACGAGACCTACCACCATCGGAGACACTGTGAGGCAAGGGAAAGTCTTTGCGCTCGTTTCGGGCGATACACAAAACAGAGAAGCCGTCGTCTCAAGTACTATTTCTATATATAATCAGGATGCTTTTCTGTTAATAGACTCCGGATGAACACACTCCTTTGTAACTTATGCATTTGCATCTAGATTGGGTAGACCTCTAGAATCATTGCCATATTTGCTATGTGTATTTGCTCCATTTGGGGAATCTGTGTTGTGTACATCTGTGCGTCAATTTGGCGATATGCATATTGGGAATGCTACTTTGTATGTAGATTTATTGCCCTTGGACTTTAAACACATTGATGTAATTCTGGGCATGGACTGGTTATCCAAATACTGTGCCACCATTGATTGTGTAACGAAATGAGTTGTATTTAGACCACCATGGCAAGAAGAGATTGTGTTTGTGGGTAATGGGGTAGTGCCACCACCTTATCTAATATCTACAATGAAAGCATGTAAATTAATCATGAAATGGTGCCAGGGTTATTTTTGTTATGTATTGTCTGAACAATCTGTAAATGTTGAATTGAACAGCATCCCTATTGTTATTGAGTTTCCAGATGTATTCCCAGATGAATTGCCAGGGGAATTGGTTGGCAGGGAGATGGAGTTTACTATTGATATTGTGCTAGGCACTCAGCCTATTTCAAAAACCCCTCACAGAATGGCTACTGTTAAGATGAAAGAATTGAAGGAGCAATTTCAAAACTTACTTGACAAAGGGTTTATTCGACCAAGTACTTCACCATGGGGTGCGCCGGTATTGTTTGTGAAAAAGAAAGATGGAACCTTGCACCTGTGTATTGACTATCGTGAATTGAACAAGGTAATGATAAAGAATAAAAATCCTTTACCCCGTATTGACGACTTGTTTGATCAGTTACGGGGCTTGCAAGTGTTTTATAAAATTGATTTAAGATCTGGGTACCACCAGTTGAAGGTAAAGACAGGACGTATTGGGAAAACTGCATTCAGAACGAGGTATGGTCATTATGAATTCCTTGTTATGCCATTTGAAGTGACTAATGTACATGCAGCATTTATGGACCTTATGAATCGAATTTTTAAGCCTTACCTTGATCAATTTGTTGTAGTTTTTATTGATGATATCTTGATATATTCAAAGAGTAGGCTTGAACATGAACACCATTTGAGAACTGTTTTGCAAACATTTTGAAACAAGAAATTATTTGCTAAACTAAAGAAACGTGAATTTTGGCTGGATGAAGTTATTTTCTTAGGACATGTTATTAACAAGGAAGGGATTTCGGTAGACCCACAGAAAATAGAAGCAATTGTAAGCTAGCCTACACCAACAAATGGGCTTAGCTGGGTACTACAGAAAGTTTGTGAAAGATTTTTCAAAAATAGCTGTACCACTTACCCAACTCACACGCAATTGACAACCATTCGAATGGACTGATGAAAGGGAGATTGACTTTTGAGAATTAAAGACAAGACTAGTCACTACACCAGTTTTGACATTACTCTCAGGTATGGAAAATTTTGAGATATATAGTGATGTTTCTTATAAAAGTTTGGGTTGTGTTGTAATGTAGAACAGAAGAGTGATTGCTTATGCCTCCCAGCAATTAAAACCACATGAGAAGAACTACCCAACAGATGATCTAGAATTGGCCGCAGTTGTATTTGCTTTGAAAATCTGGCGGCATTACTTGTATGGGGCAAAATGCGAAGTCTACACATATCACAAAAGTTTGAAGTACTTCTTTACTCAAAAAGAGTTGAATATGCGGCAAAGAAGATGGCTTGAACTAATAAAAGATTATGACCTTTCGATACAGTACCACCCAGGAAAGGCCAATACAGTTGCCGACACACTGAACAGAAAATCAACGGGGGAACCTAGCTTGCCTACTCATGAAACAGAAAGAAATCTTGCAAGATTTTGAGAAAGTCGGGATTGAAGTTGTGTTACATGAACAAGACGGGTTAATGGCTGCCATTTTTGCTGAACCAGCAATAATTAATGAAATCAACCAAAGGCAAAAAGCGATGATTTTGAATTAAACCTAAAACCAGAATTCAACGTTGAGAATGGAGCATTGAGATTTCAAAACTGAATGTGTGTTCCGAACATTCCTGAACTAAAGAAAAGAATCCTAGATGAAGCTCACAAGTCGGTGTTTGCTACACATCCAGGCAATAACAAAATGAATATGGGCTTGAAGCAAAACTATTGGTGGCCCAAAATGAAGAAGGAAATCACAGAGTATGTGTCCAAGTACCTTCAATGTTAGCAAGTTAAAGCTAAACATTAGAAACCAGGTGGTCTACTTCAACCTCTCCCGATTCCGAAATGGAAATAAGAACATATAACCATGGATTTCATTATTGGCCTACCTCAAACTCCTAGAGGTATGGATTCTATTTGGATCATAGTTGATAGATTGACTAAATCTGCACATTTTCTACCTGTGAAGACTAGCATTGATGCTTATAGCTTGGCCATAATATATGTTGATAAGATTGTTTATTTACATGGGGTTTCCGGTATCCATTGTCTCGAATAGAGATCCAAAATTTGTATCCAGATTGTGGAAAAGTTTGCAAAGAGTTATGGGAACAGAACTGAGATTCAGCACCGCATTCCATCCACAGACAGACGGGCGATCAGAACGAACTATACAGACTTTAGAGGACATGCACAGGATGTGTGCCTTGGATTTTCATGGGAGTTGGGAAGACTATTTGCCACTAGCAGAATTTGCATACAATAACAGCTTCCACTCCAGCATCGGTATGGCACCGTACGAAGCCTTGTATGCAGAAAGTGTAGATCGCCAATTTGTTGGATAGAAGTTGGAGATAGGGCCTTACTTGGGCCCGAAATTGTACAAGACACTTTGGAGAAGATTAAAATCATCCAACAAAAGCTCAAGATAACACAAAGCCGATAGAAGAATTATGCAGATGTTCGAAGAAGACCTCTTGAGTATGAGGTTGGCGACCATGTATTTATTCGTGTGAATCCGATGAAAAGCTAGCTGAGGTTTGGTAAGAAAGGTAAATTGTCACCTCATTACATTGGACCATTTCAAATTCTAGAAAGACTTGGTCCAGTTGCTTATAGAGTCACCTTACCACTGGGATTCGAACAAATGCACAATCTGTTCCATGTATCAATGTTGAGGGGTTATCTTCAAGATCCATTTCATGTGATTGATTACCACTAGGTAGCTCTAGATGAAAATTTGGAATATGAAGAATGGCCAGAACGAATCATTGACCGGCAAGTGAAACAGCTGAGAAACTTTTCCATCCCAATGGTTAAGGTAGAATGGAAAGAACACTATGGGAGGGACGCCACATGGGAAAAGGAGGATGAGATGCAACTACGCTATCCACATTTGTTCCCAGATGGAGGTAAAATAAGTTTGGAGGACCAAATTTCCTAAAAGGGGGAAGATTGTAATAACCCTGTCCCATGTTATGTTAATTAATCTTAATTATGATTGTGGTTATGTGCTTAATATGATTTTAAGTGCCATTTATATGATTATATGTGTTTTTGAATTTCTATTTGTTCACCGTAAGAAAATCTGTTGGATTTTCTACTATAGAATTGAAATTGAACGTCGTAGTGGCGATAGAAACTAAAATTGTTTGTATTTTGCGATTAGCATGATTTTTAGAGCCTATGGTAAAGTTTAATTAAAAATTGATTCAGATCAAAATAATTGGATCAAACTAATTGAATTACACTCAATTGGTTAACCTTAATTAAGATGGATCAGTCTAAACCAACTACTTAGTATATATAAGGGCCAAACACACTTAAGCTCACATTATGAGCACAAAATCTGAAGTTACACTCTAGAGAGAGAGTGAGAGACGACTCTAGAGAGAGAGTGAAGGCAAAATTTGAAGAATTGGGCAAGAAGCTTGGAGATTGAGGAAGATAACTTAAGAACTAGTTAGGAATTGGAGGATTAAAGCTCCTAGGTAAGTAATAAACTCAAATTCTTGGGTTTAAGCTCATAATTGCATGAATTCTAGCATGGTACATAACCAAGAACAAGAATTGAGCTAAATATGATGAAATTGAAGTTTGTATAGACATGCATGTGAGCTTTGTATACATTTGAGCTTTTGGCATGTTAAGTATGTAAAATTAAGTGTCAAATTACTCATGCATGTATAGTTTTGTTGAGCCTTATGACCTTGAGCATCATTTGTATCATTTGAAGTAGAACTGGAGTAAATATTTTACATGCATACATGATTTATGAAGATTGGAGGCTTAGTTGCATGAGTTTTGAAATTACAAAAGAGTTTGTGATGATTTGAAATATGGATCATGATTTTTGGACAATTGGTTTCAAGTTACCTATGTTTACATGCTAGGCAATGTTTTTACATACTTCGGTACAAGAATTGCAAGCTTTGGGCCTTTGGGAGTGCGATTTGAGCTTCAATCAGAGCTCTGGAAAATCCTGAATTCTACTTGTCCGCTTGAGCGAGAAAAGTGTCGCTCGAGCGTGAAAGTTGAGCTCCCACAAGTTTTGCAAAAATTGCACAGTGGCCAAAGCTATGCTCGAGCGTACCCTATTTTGCAAGACTCCTTGCTCGAGCATAAAATTCATGCAACCAGCACTTTCTTAGAGTTTTGCAATGGTCGCTTGAGTGGAGAGCCCT